ATTATGGGTTGGTTGGTAAGCTGTGAGTTTTCAGAAGCCCATTGAACAGATGATCAAGTGACACACCTGGAGAACAAAAGATCTATGAAGGACCAGTTTCCAGATCATAAACTACAACAATGGACTGTTGATTTCAGAGCCAAAAAGATAATGGCAGCTTGAGCTGAAAGTCTGGAGACACACAGTCTTTCCTTGGCTTGGAAGTCATGGGGTTCACCTCTTCTAGCTGTCCATGTCCAATAGGGAAATTTGGCAAAGAGGCATCCTTGGACTTCTCTTCCCCTGGAAGAATGGATTCATAGTATAGACCCACCAAATTTGAAGGGATTCCCAGAAACTCTTGGACAGAGATTTCCTCCACTCCACCATACAATTCTTGATTTCTCATTTTGAAACACCCACCATACATTGTATTTATTATGCAGGATAATTCAGTTTTATTGTAACAGAATAATGCTTGATAACTTTTTAAGCACAACCAGCCTTGCCCAACCACGGAGACTGGTTGAATCCAGCGTTAACTCCCAAGGATTTTATAATTAAATTAACATGATCATGCCCCCTCATTATAACTACCAATGGGATATTTTTTTGAGCTTTTTAATATTTTCCCTTTGGTCTCCATCTCCTACCCACTTGGAAATGCAAAGGTAATTTTTCAGCCAGAGAGGAAATTAAAAATAGTAATAAACTAAGGCATAGTCCACATGTGAATTATTGTCTGGCACCGATTGAATGCAAATGATCAAGCTCTAATGCAATGTTTCTCAACCTTGATAACTTTTAAGTTGCATGGACTTCAACACCCAGAATTCCCCATCCAGCATGCTGGCTAAGGAATTCTGCGGGTTGAAGTTCCATGCATCTTAAAAGTTGTCAAGGTTGAGAAATACTGTTCTAAATGACATAGCAGAAGCAGCTCAGCTCCATCTCTATTTTTTATTGCCCACATTATCATGCAGAACCCCAGCTATGCAAGTGAGAATGCATACAAATGCTGAGAAAGCTCACCTGTATTAGTGCTGAGATTTCTGCATCAGCCCCAGTTCTGTGATTTGCCCTCAGAAGATAACCCAGATCACATTCTTAGATGCTGATCATCTCAATGCTGGAGTGCTAAATTTCTTCTCCATCTCTAAGGATTAGCTGCAGGTGGACTATATAATGGTCAAACCATGGAATCTTGCCCTCTCCTCTTTAAGATTGCATTCAACTCTTCATTAAGGTTTGCAAATTTAGGACATTTTTAAAGAAGGTGAATTTGAAGAACACCCATTGTTCAACAGGACAGCCTATATGCTTTGAATGTCAAAACTTCCAGATTCAATTGGCTGCTTCATTTTAGGGCTACTGTTATCCTGAGTAGCCATCCCTGATCACAATGGACAAATAATCTGAATTAGGAGGTTTACATCTCATTGTAAAGGCAAAAGGTTCAAGTTTGATCCTTGCCTAACATTTCTGGTGAAAGAGATAACAGGGCATCTCTGCATGGCTTCTTCCAATAAGCCTGCTGCTTTGCTAGTTACAGAAAAATAAGAAAGCAAAACATGAAAGGAGAAAGGTAACAGGATGATGTCCTTCAGAAAAATATGATTGTCAAGCCAAGCAGAAATGTGCAAAAGAAGCTCACCCAGTGACTGCTGTCTTAAAACTTCGCACGGATGCATTTAAGAATACAAATGAAAGAAGATGCTTGAATGATATCGCTATGGAAAACTCTTCTTCCAGATTCCTTTGGTCAATGGAAGGAAATGTCCTCAAAATGGCTTACTTCAACTTGGAACCGTAACATTGCAACTATAGTATCAGATTCTATTTGACCAGCTTGTCTGTCAGAAATCTCAAACTTTTGGGGAGATGGCATAGGGAATATACTCCAAAACCCTAAAATTTATGGATACTGATCTGTAGGATTGTAGTGTTTGGGGATGAAAAAAACCTGCAAGGCCTCATTGGAAACACCTTTATATGCACAGGGGGTCTTCTCTACCATGTAACCGTTTCTTCACTGCTTCTCCATCGGATCCAAAGACTTGTTAAGGTCTGCTCCTACAACTTGTGTGGGTTCATGGAGAAGCTGGAAACCGTGATACAACATTTGGAAGATATAATATTTTGGGAAACTGATGCAATGGTTTGTTCAGAGCTTGGGAAAGATTCAGGTGATGCTTTGAAAAAAATTATCTACACACTTGACTGTTATCTGGAAGAAGAAGAACTAAATACTAGATCACAAAAAACAAATGAGAAAGTCTCAGTCCAAAGAAACAGAAAGATAAATTTGGAACTTGTTGAGATTGCTAGAGCTTTATCTTTCATCTTTTCAGCAAATCATGTTTAAAAGGCTCAGTGGGAATCTTGCTTTCAGCTGAATTTAGGGGGAATGGATGTTTCTTGATTCCATCCCTGAGCCCCACTCCATATTTTCTAAGATCATTCATCTTAGAGCTTTGAGTCACATTCTTGAAAAGAAGGTTGTGCTGATAATCTGAAAAGGAGTAGAACAACAGGAAGTATAGTTATGAAACTGCTCTGTGGATGCCCCACAGACAAGTTGACCAGCATGAAGCTGGGGCCTATGCTGGGGAATAGCTTAGAAAGGAAGGCCAATCCGTGGGTCTTAGTTAAGCAAAAGAGAAATTAAGATGCCCTATTAACTAAGTATAATCATGGCCAGAAGGATGATTAGCCTGGAGATATTTTATATATCTATATATAGCCTCTCATTTCAAATATATGGGATAAATCTTCCACAATCTGGAACCTCCAGACTTATCATGATACTACATTTCCCAGAATTCTAGGTTGGCAGATTTATGCCAGGTGGGAGCCCCGGAAGCTGTGGTCTCCATACAACTGGGGACTGCAAATTCAGAGAAGGTTGCCCCAGCAAAACCCAAATACTACTTATGTTATTTGTCTCGGTAGCTGAGGTGGAACCTTTTAATTTGGCACTTCAGGTTGTAACATCTCAGGAATGGAAGCAGAGACGTGTGACAGGCTCTAGTTTCTTTAGGGCAGTGGTTCTCAACCTGTGGGTCCGGACCCCATTTGGGGTTGAACGACCATTTCATGGGGGTCGCCAAACAATGCAGTCCGCCATTTTTTCCCCTTTTCCTTAGCTATGCTACTCCCTTTTATTCTATTGGCTTTTGAAAGCCAATAGAATAGACTCTCTTGAATAGAGTCTAATTCTATTGGCTTTCAAAAGCCAATAGGAATTGTCCAGGCTGTCTCTGCCCTGCTGAGCCCGCCAAAAGTCCCATTCTGCAAACGGTGCTGCACCAGTTGAGTAGTCCTCGACTTACGACCAGTTGAGTAGTCCTCAACTAGCGACCGGTTGGGGGTCACGGCATTAAAAAGGTTGAGAACCACTGCTTTAGGGGATGAGATAGTCAGCACCTTTTGAATCTGATACACTTCTTCTGCAAAAATTCCAATCTCCACCAATTAGAAGAAATGTTTGTGAAGCAGCCTTGAACTGAAGAACCCTTTAAAGGATGTAAATAAAAACGGGAAAGGCCCAGATAAAAATAAGGAGGACAGAGGGGAAGACTTGTTAACTATCTAATAGTGCCAAGGGCACTTTTCCCCTTAAAAGACTTGAGGAGGAAGCTGAGAGAAGGAAGTATTTTCAGAACAATACCCCCCCCCCCAACTGATATCAGAGACCTTTCTTCTTGATGCAGCTTATCAGGAGCCTTGGTGCCAGTTGGCTAGCACCAATTGTATCTCTTCTACAGTTTCACTATTATTCACTTTGTGCCAATGGCTGGGAATTTCTTCTTTTTACCTCTAAATGATTTCCCATCCTGGGTCTTTGCTTACTGTTGGTTTTAAATGCATTTTGCCTCTTCCATCCGGGAAGCCTGTGACCCTCCATCCCTCCCCCACCAGTCTTTCATTGGCCAGTTCTTCTGTCTCGGTGTAGCTGAGCACCTGACAGTCCAGCTGAGTTCTCTGGTCCACTGACCAAATCCATCGTATCTTTTCCCAATCTAGATGCCCTTCAGATGTGTTAGATGATAGTTCCCATCATCTGCAACCAAATGGTCCAATGTGTAAGTCCTAGGTTGGGGAAGACTGGTCTAACAGCCACAAAATATACATTTAGTGTCAATAATTCTTATCAACTGGGACTCTGAATCATAAAGTCTACTTGGACATCAACCATAGAGTCTTATAGTTCAGAGTAGTCATTACCATGGCATTTGGAAAAAGAAAAAAGAAAATATACAAAATCAACCCAGTTTTTCTTTTTCAGAGCTTTAAAGCTCAACCATTACAACCTTGTCAAAGCTCCTGCAACCAACAGGATGAGGAGGCCAATAAATTCTTGAGAAGATGTTATGGAGTTATTTTGGAGGCGAAACCGGTTTCCAACTTTTGGATGCTTTGGATCAAGACCAAGTTCTGTGGTGCACAGAAAATGAGTTGACCTATTTTTAAAACTTGTGAAAAACTTGGTTTGCTTGATTGTTTTCTGATCTTAACATTCCCATTGTAGAAGATTTTTGTTACCAGTATTCTTAAGGAACTTAGTAAATTACGATGTGAAGGACTTTGGGAGATAACAAAGATATTTGGATTTCAAAAGATTCAGAAGTTTCAAGAGGAAGCCAAGAATGGTGAGTCTCCTTTCTTGATCAATTAATTTTCTTTTTCAAAGATTTCAGAAAATGGAAACGGGGCTGAACCGTGGGGAAGCATTCACTTTTTTTCATTTCTAATCGAAAGGTCTCCAGGTATATTCAACCATTACAATTTAAAATGTCCAAATAAGAAAGAAAAGAGACTGCAGTGACTGATCACTTCCATCATTAAATTTTGAGTTTGTTCCTTTATGAAACAATGAATAAAGGAGTTAATGGAGGCAGAGAAAAAAAAAAACAAAAACAGACTGGCAGCTTGGTGTCATTGTTGGCTATTTTGCACGATTTCACCAGCACTGCACTTATATTCCCCCAGTCACTTGAAAATAAGGGGGAAAAACATCCTTGGGGGATGCAAATAGCACATTTTATTAAGTAAAAAGAGCAACACTTTGAACTCAGACTTTTGTAGAATTGAGAAGGTAACCGGAGAGGCGGAGTCAAGGTGTCCAGGTGAGAATGATGGGAAAAGGCAGTCCTGATTGGCTGTACAGTTGAGGGAGGGGCTTGGCAAGGGCCTCTTACATAACCGAGCAGCATTTACAACGCTGTTTCTTCATGTCAAGATCCTGGTCTGCTCCTTTGGGGTCCGTGTCATTGGCCGATGGCTGTGCTCCAGCTTGGTTCTCCTCTTTCTGAGGTTCCATCGTGCTGCCATTTGGAGGGGCGTGATCTGCTGTGTAGTCTCCTGCCGGCTTATTTTCAGCATCTTCTATCACCACCAGCTCGGCCTTGATTTGCTCTCCTTCGAGCCCCAGCACCTTTTTGGTTTCATTTTCATCTTCCACATTCTGGTAGCCCATGAAGATCATGGTGACAGGTTGTTCTTTGCTAGGCTCTGGGCCTTCACCCCCAAGCTTGGGACTCTCCATTGGTTTAGCCTGCACACCTGTGATTTCCTTTCGGGGGGTGACCTTCTGACTTAGGAGATTGCTTTGGGCTTCTTTGGCAGCCTTCTCAGAGACTTCACTCAGGGTAACTTCATCGGCCTTATGGATGAGCTCATCCACTTCGGATGAGCTGAGCTGGTGGACACCATTCTCAATGGCCCCATCTTCGGAACGGACTGCATGGACCACTGCAAGAGAAGATAGAGAAGATATACACTGAGGGCAATGAGAAGCATGACCAGGCCTTCACTGTTGCTTTCAAAAATGGTGTCAAAAGCAAGAATATACAATATTTGCCGGAAGCACAACAAATGGCTTATGGGCAAATATCCTTTATTTATTTATTTTATTTATTTATGAGACTTATATACCGCTTTAAGTGCAAGCACTCTCTAAGCGGTGTACACCAGTAAGCAATGTATATATATATTTACATTGCCCCCAACAATCTGGGTCCTCATTTTACCTACCCAGTAAGCAATGTATATATATATTTACATTGCCCCCAACAATCTGGGTCCTCATTTTACCTACCTCGGAAGGATGGAAGGCTGAGTCAACCTTGAGCCGGTGAGATTTGAACCGCTGACCTGCTGAACACAGTCAGCTAAAGTGGCCTACAGTACTGCACTCTAACTGCTGCGCCACCTCGGCTCTTATCCTTGTTTCTTGTGTAGAATGTAATCCACTGTCTCAGGAGGGAGGGAGGGACTCCTTCCCAAAGAGCAGAGTCACCACAGCTTCAAGTCTTTGAAGAGGAGGGTGAAGGTGAATCCCCACCTAGCAACTCACAGAATACATTTTGTATGCAGGTAATTGATTAATCCAGCAAGATTAATGTCAAGCCCAAAGGACCAAGAACGATACAAGGAGTTAGTTCAGAGTACTTTCCTTATCGTTGTTCACCTATAGTCAGAAATCTTGCTAGACTAAATCAATTACAGGTAGTCCTCGACTTACGATAATTGAGCCCCACGTTTCTGTTGTTAAGCGAAACATGTGTTAAGTGAACTTGCTCCATTTTACAACCTTTCTTGCCGCAGTTGTTAAGTGAATCACTGCAGTTGTTAAGTTAGGAACTCAGTTGTTAAATGAATCTGGCTTCCCCATTGACTTTGCTTGTCAGAAGGTCGCAAAAGGAGATCACATGACCCGGGGACACTGCAACCTTCATAAATATGAGTCAGTTCATGTGACCATGGGGATGCTGCAACGGTCATAAGGGTGAAAAATGGTAGTAAGTCACTTTTTTTTAATGAAGTGGTAACTTTGAATGGTCACTAAATGAACTATTGTAAGTCGAGGACTACCTGTATCTACATAACTATTACCCTGTGAACTGCTAGGGCAGTGATGGCGAACCTTTTAGAGACCGAGTGCCCAAACTGCAACCCAAAACCCACTTATGCATCGTTGGGTGCCAGGTGGGTGTGGCCCATTGGCTGGGTGTGGCCAATTGGGGGGGTGGCTCATTGGGTGGGCATGGCTTTGGTGGTAACGGCAGACTGGGTGGGACTAAAAAGTTCAATCAATTCCAACTTTGCGAGATCTTTTTTTTCTCCCGCGAGATGTTGAAATTGACTGATTGAACCTTTTTTTTTTTTGCATACGGCAGTGGAGGCCTAAAGCGAAAAGGTTTCATAAAACCCAGCTGAAGGCCTAGGACTGGGGCGACGGTGCGCGTGCCCACAGAGAGGGCTCTGAGTGCCACCTCTGGCACCCGTGCCATAGGTTTGCCACCACTGTGCTAGGGGGTGTCTATGGAGATTCTCGGTCATCCAGGTCATGGTTGTCCCAAAGGTGCTTTTTCATGAGGCAACCAGACTTTGTTTTTCTTTGAAGACGTTTTGCTTCTCATCCAAAAATCTTCTCCACCGTCCAGTCAGAACTGAAGAAGCTTCTTGGATGAGAAGTGAAATGTCTTCAAAGAAAAACAAGGAAGTCCTTGTGAAAAAGCACCTTTGGGACTGCTAGCAGCTGTCCACCTTCAGCCTCTTCCTGCATACCAAAGATTCTAAGCTATTTTGTCTCTTTGCTTTCTGGGAAAGGGCCCTTCCTTCCCCTGCAACTCTGGACTACATTCTACTACATTTCTACTCCCAAAGGTGTTTTTCAAAAGGCAACTAGACTTTTTGTCCTTGAAGAAAGGGGGAAAAAAAGGGGGGGGAAGTCCAGTTGCCTTTTGAAAAACACCTTTGGGACAACCATGACTTGAATGACTGAGAATCTCCATAAATACATTTCTGCTCCTCAAGAGATGCTGAAGTGGCTCTAGAGATCCGAAAATGCCAAGAATTTCTCCTTTAAAGCAGAATGGATTTTTATTTTGGAGGGGTTTGATAAATCTTGTAGACCTCTGACAGATCAACAGTTAAGCACCTCAAATACCAACCACACCTACCTGTTCTTTATTCAAGTGTTTTGTTCTCTCTCTGGGTATACTAGTAGCAGGAAAAATTCCCAAGCAATTTGATGAAAGAACCTTCACTTTTCTTTCAGAGATGAGAATGTGAGGCCAAAAAGGATGTACCGTATATTCCGGCATATAGGGCGACCCGGCGTATAAGACGACCCCCGAGTTCAACGCTGGGTCGCAAGACGATCGACGCTGAGTCGCAAGACGATCGACGCCAAGTCGCATGCCTAGAAAGTCGACTTATACGCCGGAAACTACCGGTATTTCCGGCGTATAAGACGATCGACGACGAGTCGCATGCCTAGAAAGTCGTCTTATATGCCAGAAACTACCTTATTTACGGCGTATAAGACGACTTGGTGTATAAGACGACCCCTGAGTTCGGAGGCTGTTTCAACGCTCTCAAAAGTCGTCTTATACACCGGAATATACGGTACAAATATTCTGTCTTCCATTATATTGGTATCGATCTTTCTGGCAGTCTGCAGGCTTTCTGGCTTCCTACCTTATTTTTCAATCCAAAGTAAGGAACATCTTCTATGAACTCTTTCAGAGTTCTTCTCTTGAGAAACAGCTGGGAGGTTCCCCCCCCCCCCATGGAACATTTATTTTTAAAAAAGCAAACATCCACACATTTGGTGGGAACATTTAGAAAAGCCACTCATACCCAGCTATCATAAATATACTTCTTCTTCTTTTTTAGGTGCAGAAAAATGGATGTTGAATTTGGACAGAAAGAGAAAGAGCAGTAAGTGTAGGGAAAGAGTGGGTCAAAACAATTCTAGGGATTTTTCAACCAGGACTGCCATTCTTACTCTTTATCTCCTTGACCTGCACTTTCATAATAAACAACAATCCCTTGCATTATTCTATTCTCCACACTGGAATGGAAGATAAGAAAAGTAAGGAGGGTTTACAGTGCTTTTGGCAGAAAAATGAAAACGTGACTTAACTTTTTAAACTAAAAAAGGGAAGTGCCCTTTATTTGAACTTAACTCCTGCTTATGATTGCACAATGCTCTAGAATTGATTGTTTTTTCCCCAGATTTGTTTGAACTGTCCACCCTAGCCTATTGCCCCACAATTTCCTAAGGATTTCCATCTGAATGGTATCTGTATTGTAACCTGTTGTAACTTAGTGCTTGAAAATCAATTAATGTTGACAAGATGCTGCCACCTGCTGAGACTTAAAAACTTCAGGCTAAAATCATCATCATCATCATTATCTCAAACATCTCAATACAACTGCAAAAATTGTCCATTGGGATTTATATGGAAAATTCAGCTTTACTGTTTACAAAAAACCACTGGGATTTTTGCACCTGAAAAAAGCTTGCAAAATGAGATCCAAATTTTGTAAGATTTCGATATACAAACTGTTAGGAACACGATCTCATAGGTACCACTATTACAGAAAGGAACACTGCTGATTTGTTGAAAAATTATGGAGAAAATATCTGAATACCATAATTTATATACTAAGGCTGAAAAATAACGGAGCATTAAACATTACACCAATTATAATGGCACCTCTTGGCACAATGTGAAAAGGATTCACCAAATATTTAGAAATATTAAATTTACTGGGTGTCTGTAAAAGACGTTTTATAGCAGTGTTTCCATAACTCAGGTCATTAAGTAGGACCTAAGCAATTGGAGATAACGTCCAGTCAATTAGACTACGATATTCATTTGGGTAAATGAGATAATATTAATAATTATTCATAGGAAGTCTCAGCTCCTGAGCATTGCACATATTTCCAGTAGATAGCCTTCCTCCTGAACACAGAATATTTTTGCAATTCTTTTTCTAAACACTGCAAGCAAGATGGATACAAGGGAAGAGATGGGATTCCTCTAATCCAGGGGTAGGCAACCTTGGCTCTTTTATGACTCATGGACTTCAACTCCCAGAATCCAACGTCAGGAAAAACCAGTACAAATGACAATTCTGATTCCATTTCCCTGAAATTAACTCTACTGCACTCTCAAAGTTGCAAAGCTTCTGATGTTGATTTGGTTTTATAGGTAGTCATTGACTGATGGCCACAACTGAGTCCAAAATTTCTACTGCTGAGCAAGATAGTTGTTAAGTGAGTTTTGCCCCATTTTATGACTTCTCTTGCCACAGTTGTTAAGTGAATCACTGTAGTTATCAAGGTAGTAACACGTTTGTTAAGTGAATCTGGCTTCCCCACATTGATTTTGCTTGTCGGAAGTTTGCCAAAGGTGATCCCATGACCTTGGCATACTGCAATGGTCCTAAGTATGAATCAATTGGCAAGCATCCAAATCTTGATCGTGGGGGTGACCATGGGGATGCTGCAATGGTCGTTAAGTGTGAAAAACAGTCAGGTTACTTTTTTCACTGCCATTGTAACTTTGAACAGTCATTCAATGAATGGTTGTTAAGTTGCGGGCAATCTGTATTTGGGCCTTTTTCAGGGCAGGGCAGAGTGGATTGTACTGCCCTCTAGTAGAACAGCAAAGGTCCCCAAACTTTGTGGCTTGGAGGCTAGGCTGGGGGAGGGGGAGAGGGGAACTGGGCCATATGAGTGGCAGGCTGGCGCACAAAAGTTGAATTGTAATATGCATGTGTGCTTGAGTCTCCAGCCAGCCACTCGCATGGCCCAGTGGCTATGGAAGCTTCTCAACATCCTGGGAGCAATAGGGTGGTGGCGAGCTAGTCAGGCATCCCAGATCAAGCAGTGAGCTTCATGGCTGAAAGGCCACTAAGACCTTCAATAGCAATAGCATTTAGTCTGAAGTAGCACCACACAGTGCTTTGTAGCACTCTCTGGGTGGTTTACAATGCAGAAGCATTATTTGCATATTGCCCCCAACAGTCTGGGTCCTCATCTTACCAACCTGGGAAGCATGAGTCAACCTTGTGCCCTAGCAGGATCAATTTTCAGGCTGTGGGTAGAGTTTGCCTGCAATGCAGGTAGTCCTTGACTTACGACCACAATTGAGCCCCACATTTATGTTGTTAAGCAAGACATTGAATGTTAAGTGAGTTTTGTTCCATGTTACGACCTTTTTCGCCCACGTCTTGGAACCAGCTCCCCCCGGAGATTAGGACCGCTCCCACCCTGTTGGTTTTCCATAAGCTGCTTAAGACCTGGCTTTTCTGGCAGGCCTGGGGTTTATAAAATCTGACCCCTGGATGACTGTTATTGCACTGTTTGTTTTGTCATGTTTTATGGTGTTTTTATTGTTAGCCGCCCAGAGTCCTGCGGGAGTGGGGCAGTTTATAAATTTTAAAAATAAATAAATAAATAAATTGTTCAGTGAATCACTGCAGTTGATAAGTGGTTGTTAAGTGAATCTGGCCTCCCCATTGATCTTGCTCGTTAAAAGGTCGCAAAAGGTGATCAAATGACCGTAGGACACAGCAACAGTCATAAGTATGAACCAGTTGCCAAGCATCTGAACTTTGATCACAGGATTATGGGGATGCTGCAAAGATCGTACGTGTGAAAAATGGTCCCAAGTCACTTTTTTCAGTGTCGTCGTTAACTCTGAACGGTCACTAAGTGAGCTGTTGTGAGTTGAGGACTACCTGTACTGCACTTTAACCACTGTGTCATCAGAGTCCCAACGCAATTCCAAACACAACCTCTAATAGCTGTGCTGTGGGAGGGAAGCCAGGTCTTCTTGAGTCAACGTGATGTGCTGCTCAGGACTCCATCTGAGTTCCAGGGAGCATGAAAGATCATCCAGAGACATCCTTGGTCTTTGGACCCTCCCTTCCAATGCATACCTTTCAGCTCGTCCTCGTACACTTTGACTCCCTGAACTGAGTTCTCTTTGGGTAGTCTAGTGGTGCTGGACAGGACTTTGGTCTCCCCTGTGAGTTTGTCCTTCTCCACAGTGATCTCTACAGAGTACATAGCTGGGACATAAACAGGACACAGTGAGCAACAGAATGTTTCTCCCCCCGCCCCCCGCCCCCCAACCTCTCCCTCCCTGAGCTCGGAAACGAGAAGCATTCGGTACGAGCAGGGAAGGTGGGAGGCACAGGGCAGCTGGGGGGACCTGTGGACAGGCCCAAAGCATTAGAGGCAGAGAGAAGAAGCGATGCACAAGGCAAGCGAAGGCCTTTTTGCTCAAAGGAACAGCAAACCAAAGAGCATCTGAGATATTGCTTTCCCAAAGTCTTAGCAGAGCCTATCGGTGGCTCTCCTTGATGGTATCTTAGTCACCATTTCTAAAATGTTGATCTTGGGTTGGATCTAAACCAATGTTTTTCAACCTTCGCAACTCTAAAATGTGTAGACTTCCGCTCCCAGAATTGTCTAGCCAACCTTCAGAGTGTTATCATGTACACGGAAAAGACATGTTCTCAGTAGCTTATAGTTGATCTGTTAACCAAAGATGAGATGAGGTTTAGCCGAAAAGGTTATTGATCAGAGTTTTTGCTTTTGGAAAAGGGCGGGCAAAATAGGAAAGGAAAAAAAGAAGAGTTTAAGCTTAAATGAAGCCAAGGAAAGATGAATTTAAGATTTGTTCAATAAAGAGTGGCCCTGCATCAGTGCTGAGATGGGTATGAAGAAGAACAGAGCAAAGAAGGAGAAAAGAAGGATAATGTATTTGTAATGGAGTAGTAAGTATGAGCAATAAGCAATCTTCTCCTTCTTCTTTTAAATAAGGCTTCCTTTCAGCTGAAGTCAACTTTGGTGACTTCCTGGACATTTCCTCTGTAGTCACCTTACAAGAGAGATGGATGGCATAAACATTTAATAAATAAATAAAATTAATATAAAGAAGTTTTATCTTTTCTTTCTTCCAGGATGTTTTTTTTTTTCCTGACTTCTCAGTTTAAACAAGAGCCCTGGATTTTCCTAGAATCATCTATCCAAGACCCTTGTTTAGCTTTTTGAGATTGGCCAAATTTGCCCTTTTATGGCTAAGATGAGGCACAGCAAATTTCCCAAGCAAATTTGATTAGTAAAAGCAAAAACAAAAGCAAAGAATGCTGAACTGGGCATCAGAGCAGACAGGAATTTAGATTAAAAGTCAGGTTAACTGTCAGTGGGAGAGAAAGACATGATTGGAACTGGGAATTTGGGATGAAAAGGAAGGCAGGGTGGAAAAGCCAGATGTGGAGAGAAGGACTGCTTTGTCACTCAACGCTCAGCAAACCTGCAGTTACCATTTGAATATAATACTAGCCCGAAGTTCATTTGCTTATTCTGACAAGGATAATATACTCTGTCACTGTTTACAGGCAAAAAAAGGAATACATGTGTTTGCAGGCTGTCCATGATCTTAGGTCAGGAAGGAACATGAAACAGCTGTAAAACTATTCTTTTGGCATCCGACCTGCATACTTTCAGCAAAGGAGTTCTCAAGCAGGACAGTGAAATGTCAAAAACACAAACAACATGATGTTCTGTATGCTCAGCTGAACTATTATTTTGGCTTGTTAATTACTTAAAAGCAAAAATGCAAAGCATCAAGTGGAGAATGAGATTTAGATGAAAAGTGAATTGAATTTTAGGAAGCATTTTCCCCCAAAGTGCAAAATTGTTCTCAGTCTGATGTGTTGGAGTACAAAATCTATATTTTCCAGCTAAAGCACTACATTGGCTAGCTAGGATGGGTGATGTACAGTAGTTCTACATGTGTGCAGCCTGCCTAATTAAGGAAAGCTGGCACAGTTTGAGCTCATTCCAGTTGACAATTGTCCCTGAAAGCACATAAAATTTGGACATAACGTGGGCCAGGACACTTTTAAAAACAGGAGACAAATTGCTTTCTCAGCATATTTTTTTTACAGTTTTAATTCAGGATGGCTCAGAGTTTTTCAGTTCCATCAGTCCTGCTTGTTGAAATGAATATTTAAACAAACTATAATTTCCAAAAACATAAATGTAAATGCAATATGTAATTTATCTCAAAGCACACATTTGTAAATGCAGTTTCTCCTGTGATATAGTGTGAACATTTGCAGAGTCATGGACTACAGTAATTGGTCATTAAATAATTTTCTGGGGAAAAGAGCTAAGACTGTGTGGCCTAGTGATCAAATGGACTGGCAGCAGGGAGACGTAGATTTTACCCCCCTCAGCCCAAAAACGCAGGAGAGACTTTGAACTGGTCACCACAGCCTACCTCACAGGGGTGTTGTGTCAGGGAAAAATGGGATGAGAGAACACTATATACTTTGACTTGCTTTCCTTAGGAAAAACAAGCTATAGATGTAACAGAGTAATAAATAAATAAATGCATGTTACATTTGCCTGGAAACTGTGAGAAAGGTGGATTTTTGTGGCTGCAGCCATCTCCTCGACTGTTCCTATTGATTAAAATGTCCTATTAGAGCTGGACACCCAATAGAGCAGAAAGGAGACAAATTCATCATGGTGATCGAAGCTGCCTTTGAGCCCCGAGCACAAAACAGATCAAACTGTACAGCTTTCTCAGAGGTTTTCCAGTTCAGGATAGCTGTGATGCAGCTAATGGGTAACACACCATTAGTTAAAACAACATTTATCAACGGCAGCTCTGTGGTGACTGGGTGGTTTTTTCCTCCCTCACTCCCCCACCCTTCCACCCACTATTCTTCCTTTGACCTTGCAGAAATGGAGGACATGTCACTTCAGGCTATATCAAGGCAAAAATCAAGGCCAACCAAGTGTAAAAAGCAACACCAAATTTGGCCTTTTAAATGCATTCGGAATCATTTTCAGGGAGTGACATCTACACGATAAAATACGACCTTAGTCCTGGGTTTTAGGCACAGGACTTCATTTTTCTTATTAAATTTATAATGCTATTCATCTCACTATCAAGCAACTGTGGGGCAGGATACAGTAGGACAGGATAGCACACAGCCCAGAATCACTTCTGTGAGATGGACAGCTGTGTAAATGAAATGAAAATGAAATCTTGACTTTGGAATTTGCTGATTAGATTACTCTGTTGTTATAGAAATGGCTGGTATTTACTAAGTGCTGTATGTAAAAGTAAAACATTGAAGATGTAATTTTATTTTGTATTCCACTGTGCTGAACAAAGTTGGAAGTCAATGCTTTTTTCTCTTTTGCCCTTTATTCTACACTTCTCCTTCCCCCTTTTCCCTTTGCTATTTCCCTACTACCTTTATTTTCATTTATATTTTAGATTATGAGAACCTTAATTAAAAAAAATAATTTAAAAAGAGATGGGATAGTTGTTTCAGCCCCATCTCAGCCTCAGATGGAAGACTTAAAATAAACTGGGTTCATCTCTATAAATCCGGCAAAAAAATCATTCAGTTGGGCTGAGGGGACAGAAATTCATTGTTGGAAGATTTGGGAACTAATAACTTTAAAGAACTTTATGGAAACTCATAAGGTCGTCTTTAGCTGTTCTGGCATTATCCCTTTAAACAGGCAACAAACTTCGATTGTTTTGCCATGAGTACCATTTAATGCACTTCACCAACCATTTGATCAGTCTTTCAGTCAGGTGCCTCCTAGGAATGGAATCAGTCAATCACCTACTGGTCATTTTAGGGGGGGGGGAACCTTGGCTCTTTTATGACTTGTGGACTTCAACTCCCAGAATTCCTGAGCCAGCATGGCTCAGCTTGGAAACCTCTCTTTCCCCTCAGCATGGCTGGCTCAGGAATTCTGGGAGTTGAAGTCCACGAGTCATAAAAGAGCCAAGGTTGCCTACCCGTTTTAGGCTGATGCAGGTGCCTTTCCCTTCCTTGAGCTTCAAAGCACAGTCCTCCAGGGCTGTTGTATTTTCAGAGTCTGCTTCTTTTAACCTGAGCCTCCCAGGATCTTTGAACTGATTCCTGACTCAGAGACCAGGATCAACCTGAACAGCAACTGATTGGAGATGGTGGGTGGTCCATATCTGAAGCAGAAAGAAAACCCACTCTCTGTTTGCTGCCCAAAACGCAATTCTCCCTGTGCCTGAGCATTTGGGCTGTTCTAGGTTGCTTTTGAACACAGGTTTAGTGCAGTTCTAGAATAGCACTAAACTTATGTGCCGAAGCCCGGCGGTCAGCTTTGGTTTGGTGCAAGTGTTTTACACAAGTCCTTTCAGCAGGAACCTGATGCTCTAATCTTCTGTCAAAATGTTTCTCCTCCCACCCCAATATATGTTAAGGAGAAGGATGGGTATTTGCCTCCCCACTAGTGGTGATCTTTGTGGGGGTTGGCAGAGAAAGAAAACTGGGAAATAATGTGAGTTGTATACTGTAAAGACAGCCTCATTCATCAGAAACAAGAGTGCAAGAATAGATATTGCTATCAGGACAGCAACTTTTAAGTCATTATAGTTTCCTGCTACCTCAATGTGATGGTATGTGGGAAAGATCTTGGGAGGCTGGGCAAGGGAATATTGCCAAGGGAACGGTTAGATAAGAGAAAGTATAGCCCACAACTGGACTGTGGGCAGGGGAAGAGGCTCAAAAGAAATCCTCCTTAGATTGTTGTGCTGCAGAGGAGACAAGGGGGAAAATTGTATTTTTAGAATTGCAAGATTCTGTCCAGGTAACTTCACAATAAAGTAGAATTAGCTCATCTGGTTGTGATTCCTATCTGGTTTCTCCTGCGAGATCAACACACAAGGACTCTTTGCACTTCATGAGGTCAACACTTAAGGACTCTTTGGACTTCATGGCCACGTCCCCATGAAGGTGCTGCTAGCAAGTTATTACATTCAATGACTGCAGATAGATTCACCTACTATTCCAAAAGCATCTTTTTTTAAAAAAAAAGGCAAATGAGGCTCTGATAAGGAAAATCTTCCTGACAATCAAATGTACAGTGCACAACAGTGGAACTCCATCTGTGGGTCTCTCCATCTCTGGAACCTTTGGGCTTTCCAGTTCTGGAAGGGGCTGGAGAGTCACCAGACATGGATGATTTAAATGATGTTCTTGCATACTGCAAAAGGTTGGACTAGATGTTCCTTCAAGAGGAACATGTTCCATAATCCACGTTCCTCATGAAGTTCTATGATTTTGTGATAGAATTTGTCCCCGTTTGTAGCATGAGGACATGGGAAAGAGATGAGACAGCCCTGGAGGGGCAGGAAGAACCATATCAGTTTGGACAACACTGCTTCAATGTCTACACGAAAAATCGTTCTCTTCTGGGATAAATTTTTCATAGCAAAGTTAAGATAGTGCATTGGTTATTCATATTTAAGGAGTTCCTTCTTTAATTGATTAGGTTTACAAATATTATTAAATATATTATGTTTATAATTTGTAAGATATATATTATGGGATCTATTGGTTCTGGCCTGGTCAGATCCACTTTGAGTGCTGCATTTAGATATGGTACCAGATTACAGAAAGGACAGCCAGCCAGCCATCCATCCATCCATCCATCCATCCATCCATCCATCCATCCATCCATCCATCCATCCATCTATCTATCTATCTATCTATCTATCTATCTATCATCTCTATCTATTTATCTCTTGCTACGAACAGAGATAGATAGATAGAAGCAAGCGTCAAGCAGCGTAATGCAGCAAAGGTGAGACTTCTCCTCTGGCTTTGCCAAGGAACAAACTACAAATGCCTTCCTCTAGTAAGCTCCTTCTTGGCGAAAGCAGGCCAAGCAGCATGCGGTTAGGGCCAGCCCAGAGTGGCCAGGGTGTGCGTGGGCAGTGAGACCCGAAGAGGTCCCCAGGTCTGAGCCAAGACACCAGGACTGAACCTACCTGCTTTCATCAAGCCGCTGCCCTTGCCTTCCACCACTTTTATGGGACTGTTGGAGACTTTGTTGTCTGCTTCAGGAAGGGGGGGAAAAAAAGGGAAATCAAAACTTGAATGGTCAACACAATCACCTTCTCCAGATCTCTTTCTGCCTCTGCCTCCTCTCCTATCCACCTTTTATTTCTTATATTTATGTCCCACCTCCTCCATGGGGAGAACATTAGCGGGCATAATTGTTCCATTTTTATCCTCCTCACGACCCTGAGGTTTATATTTTTCTGAAAAATTTGACTAAGCATCTCCAGGATGGTGGGAAAGAGGCGGTCATAATGCCCATTTTGGCATCCTTAACAAATCAGGAATGGGCAACCAGGAAGATGGCCCAGAATAGCTTTTCAGAGGGAGATGGTGGCAAACAAACAAAACAAACAAATAAATAAGGGTTCATTCTTTTGCATTAAGCCAAAGGACTTCAAAGTTAGCAATTTTAAGACTTGTGGACTTCAATTCCCAGCTGGCTGAAGAATTCTGGGTGTTGAAGTCCACAAGTCTTAAAGTTGCCAAGTTTGGAAACCCCTGCATTAAGCCATGGTTCATTCAATCATTGTTTATTAACTAAGCCACAATTAGTTGGGTTAGCACATTATGCAAACCGTAAACCAATATTTTACGAAGACTGAGATCACACTAAGCACACTAAAGCCTTTGCTCAGGCATTTGGTGAAGGTCTTTTTAATTATTAAATAAATAAACTAAACATTAAATACCCTGAACCTCTTAAAGTTTTGTCTCAATTAAAAATGCCATTCTGGGGTTTATTGTTTTTACCAGTGTCCCCATTCCAGTGATCTCCAAGTGTCTTAGATTATGACAGCCATAAATCCCAGCTAACATGCCAGTAGTAACACTGAGGGGAATTATTAGAATCACAATCAAATGCAACTGAGATGGGTGGGTAGTTACAGGTAGTCCTCGACTTACAACAGTTCATTTAGTGACCGACTTACAACAGTTCATTTAGTGACCATTCAAAGTTACAACGACCCTGAAAAATGTAACTTATAACTCATATTTACGATTCATATTTATGACAGTGTTGCTGGGGTCATGTGATCCCCTTTTCCCATCTTCTGACAACCGAAGCCAATGGGAAAGCCAGATTCATTTAACTTCCCTGTCACTAATTTAACAATGTGATTCATTTAACAACTGTGGCAAAATAGGTCGTAAAAGGAGCAAAATTCACTTAACAAATATCTCACTTAGTAACAGAAATTTGGGCTCAATCATGGTCGTAAGCTGAGGACTACCTGTACTTCTCTGCTCTCTGTATTGGCAAAAGCTTCAAAAATTTCTTATAATTCAAAACTTTGGCTTCTAGAAAAATTCTAAATCAATATTCCTCAACCTCAGCAATTTTAAGACTTTGATTTCCAAAATTCCCCAGCCCGTGTATGGCAAAAAATAATCATAAAATGAAGTTCGGTCATGTGGTGCCTTGAGTTATGACCTCAATGACTTACAGCTGAAATTCCAAGCTCCACTGTGGTTGTACGTGGAGATCTATCTGTACACCAGCCCAATTGCCTGGAATCACGTTACATGCCAAACTACAAGCTACTCAACCATACTATAACCTAACATGTTACAGTATATGAACATCATTTCATCAGCTGGTCATTTAATTTGAGAAGGGCAATCATAGTCAAATACCTCTCCATTAAAAAAAAGGAAGGGATTGAGGCAGCATTTGAAAATCAGAAGCCATTTGCAGTACCGCTGTTTAGACTGCTGTAATACGCCCTCTCTGAAGCCACCCTTGGAGCCTTCAGTGGTGCAAAATGCAGGGATTTTTGTTCGTTTTGGTCTGCACGGATGGATGGCATATAAAATGTTCAGGGATGATGATGACAATGAGAATGATGGTGATGATGATTTGTATTATGGTTTGTGGTTTTAATCGCCTATGCACTGCCCAGAGTCACTGTCATGTCCTAGGTGGCTATACATATAATTGTTTGAATTAATACGTTATTGCCTTGTCGGTGCAGAATGGATCCAGTTTGGAACCAGAAGGCTTTCAGGCTCAATTGAAACTGCAGTTTGTTACTTGTAAAGCCATTTATTTATTTAGTCTGGTTCCAAAACAATGCTGGACAGCTCCAGGCAATGCCAAACAAACAAACAAATTAAAAACACCAGATTAAATAACCAATAGGTCATTGGATCACTCAATGCAGAACATGTCCAAAAGGTCATCCCACCCCATCCTACCCCAAGGCCTGGGAAAACAGCTTTTTCTTCAAAGCCCTCCAGAATCCCATCAAGGTGGGAGCCACACAGATCTTAGGAGAGCTCTTGTGCAGGAGAGCAGATGCTGTGCTAGAGAAACACAGTGCCTGGGTCCCAATAAATAGTCTTGTCCAATTGAAGGGATCCTGAGATGCCAATTCTGTACCAACTGGGCCGAAACTGTAGGAGTGAGTTATATCAAGCAACTCTATGTGGAAACAGAGCTTGCCCATCTAGCACAATTGTTTAGCACATCTAGCACAATTGCTGGCTGAGGAATTCTGGGAGTTGAAGTCCACAAGTCTTAAAGTTGCCAAGGTTGAGAACCCCTGGTTTAGAGAGAGGTCCTCTTGAGGATTCCCCCAACCTCCCAAGGTACAGGTGGTATCGAAAGACAACAGATGTTCTTGCAGGTGACTCAAACTATATGGGACATCTTTCTACAGAAGCATGGAAGACCACCTCCTTTGCTTTTCAAAAGCAGCTTAAAGTTGTATTCTTCCAGCAAGGTTTCAGCCCTAAGATCTGGTTGAGTATCAGCCCTTCCAGATCAGGAAACAGACGCCACAGCAAGCTTAGAACTCTATTTCCTTGAGAAAGGCTATAATAATAGACTGTTGAAAACCAGCCCATGTCTCCCCTTTTTCTTTTTGTTCATGCTACAAGGAGTCAAAGGTTGGGGAACCATCTGAATCTCTTTGTAACACTTTCCCATCTCTCTGGACTTAATACAGGAAGTCCTCGACTTATAACCACAATTGAGCCCAAACTTTTGGTTGGTAAGTGAGACAGTTGTTAAGTGAGTTTTACCCCACTTTACGACCTATCTTGCCACAGTTGTTAAGTGAATCGCTGCAGTTGATAAGTTAATAATCCAACTGTTAAGTGAATCTGGCTTCCCCATTGACTTTGTCAGAAGGTTGCAAAAGGGGGTCACATGACCGCTGGGACACTGCAACCATCATGAATCAATTGCAAAGCATCCAAATTTTGATCACGTGATCATGAGAATGCTGCAACGGTCATAAGTGTGAAAAATGGTCATAAGTCACTTTTTTCACTACTATTGTAACTTCAAACCATCACTAAATAAACTATTGTAAGTCGAGGACTACCTGTACATTTTTCTTCTGCACCTGGTGCTTCCCCAACAACTTATGCATTCATTCGCCAAGGTTATGTACCATCTATATTGTGTAGCCATAGTGATGATGATGGTGATTATGATGGGCTATTTTAAAAAGGGGTGAATACCTGATTGATTCCTTGTGTAGGCAAGAAAAGACAGCCCTTATATAGGGGCATCTATGTGGGGTAGAGGGCTCAAAAAAGTGAAATATTGTAACCACACAATTGAAGCACCGTCCCTGTTTTATGTATATCATGCCTGCCCCCCTGTAGATAATCCTGGGCTGTTAGTTATTACCTCTAAAATCCAAATTCAAGACTTTTTTTATTTAAAAAGGCAGGTGAAATCTGTGTTGGCACCTACCTTTGGCTGAGCCTAGAGGAGTCTGTGGGAAGAAGAGACATAGGTAGGTTACCAAAATAGAACAAAAACAGGAGACGTTTCTTTGCACATTTATCTTGGCTGTGAGTCAAAGCCACATGCATGGCATTCTGGATACATGCAAAAGCTTTTAAAGGCTTCTCTGTTACACAGCATTAGCTTCCTGCATTTTTTATAAACTCTTTCAAGAGCATGAAAACTGAGTCAGTTCTCTCTGGAAGGCACTGCACGATGGGTTAAACAAATCCTGTATCTATGAACCAAACCAGGAGAAGTTGGATTCCAGCTTTAGTTAAAACTGGAGCCTGGCTTGCATCTAGCAATCAGATTTGCCTGCTAAGCTCTCTTCAGTGAATTATGGTGCCCATATGGACATGGCAGGGAGAGTCTTTTGTTCCATCCTCACAACAACCCTGTAGGGAGACCATGTGGAGAGAAAGAAGCTGGTTCTGACCTTCGGCGTGTGGGGTAGTTTCTCTTCCTTGACCACCACTCTGGTTGTTTCCTCAGCCATGTTCTCTTTGGTGGAAGAAGCTGAGATCCCATTTTCGAGCTGTTCCAATTCTTTTTCCAACCTAGACCAGGAAGAGACATCAACTGTCAAACATTGTTTAAAGCTTAGAGCTGAAATATTAATGCTGAAAGAAGATATCCTCTTTTGCTACACAGATTTATGCATCATATGATATAACTTCTGTTCTTGCTGACTTGCCTGAGCCTCATAAATGAACTATCAATTCTCAAATTTAATTCAACACATTATATTGTAACCTAAGTTGCAGTTCTTTTTCAGAGACATCATTTAACCCTAATAATCCCACTTCTCTGCTGAGTGCTATATTTGGAATATGCCAGCTAAATTGTAAATTATTCTTCCTATTTCCAGTGTGTTCTACTAAGTCTGCAGAAATAAGGAATTAAATCAGAGGCCTCAGGCAAATAATAATTTGATAGCCTGGTCCTTGCCTAAATTCTTCCATTCCTGCTCCAGCTTCGCTGATTTTTGGAGTCTTTAGTTCCTGAGCAGTGATACCAGCACAGATCCTCATTCTTTGTGGTACCTATCATATGGAGCTTCCTCAACAGCAAAAATAATCAGGCCAAATCAATGGATTTAAGAAAACAAGGTTTACCTGCCCCATCAGCTGGATTACATCTTCCTTAGCCAGCATAATTACTGGGTGAAAATCAAGGGAGTTGTCATCCAGAATTTCGGGAAGAAGGCTGATCTAAGCTAGGAATGAGTTTTTGGAAAGTACAGATGTGGACTGTTGCTATGCTACATATGATTACCTTCTACTTTAAGATTAGAGGGCTTTTCATTTTGGTATGTTTTAGTTTGTTTATTTTGCCTGTTGTCTAGGACTGACTTCCTACTTGGTTTTATATTGGATGCTAATACATCCCTAAGGACCACGCTGGCAAAATTGAAGCACAATAAAATAAATAAGATGAGAAATGCAAAATTCATTAATGTCACTTTTCATCTCAGCCTCCTGCCAGGGAGAGGAGCAGGGACGCCAGAAATCCTGTTTTTCGTCTTTTGCAACAACTTAGAGATGTTAATTTTGCTTGTTAGGTCTTCTAAGCAAGTTTTGCAGATAAGTAGATGTTGAATCCCAGATATTATCAGACTAAGTCCAATATACCAATCAACATACATGAGTAGATCAAGTGATATGCATGTTTGAATGAAAAATTCCAAAACTTTCAATGAGCATTTATCAATATTTGCAGTAAGAGAAGCTCTCTAAATCAGTGGTTCTCAACCTTTTTAATGCCGCGACCCCCAACCGGTTGTAAGTCGAGGACTACTCAACCGGTCGTAAGTCGAGGACTACTCAACTGGTGCAGCACCATTTGCAGAATGGGACTTTTGGCAGGCTCAGCAGGGCAGAGACAGTCTGGACAATTCCTATTGGCTTTTGAAAGCCAATAGAATTAGACTCTATTCAAGAGAGACTATTCTATTGGCTTTCAAAAGCTAATAGAATAAAAAGGAGTAGCACAGCTAAGGAAAAGGGGGAAAAAATGGCAGACTGCGTTGTTTGGCGACCCCCGTGAAATGGTCGTTCGACCCCAAATGGGGTCCCGACCCACAGGTTGAGAACCACTGCTCTAAATAGACAGGTAGAATCTACACTGATGGAAGTTGTTGTCAAAATGCAATCTCGATTTAGCCAGTAGGCAAATGCTAAATTGTGTAGCACAATATCAAGTATTTATAATATGAGTATGAGTGCCCAGTTTAGTAACTCTGAATAGACATCTATTATTGACAATTACACTACAATTATAGACTTTCATGCACCTGAGTTTTTAGCTTATTTTTTTTTTCTGAAAATATGCAAAGGTTTTAAGTCACGTTTTTTTGTTTCTGTCCATTTCACACAGGCTATTTTTAACTCTATGCGTTCCTGCTAATTTTGGGGGGCATCAGAGATTAAATGTACCCTGTCTTTCCTGTCACCCACTTGATGTTTCACCCACTCTCTACTCAATTTCATAACTCAATTTTATCAGAAAACGCAATGTAGTGGGTTTCTATCTAAAAATATCCCCCAAAATCTAAACAATGTTGGTTCTGGACTTCTGGGGTGTTGGCTAGACTGAGAAATTATAACTCACCTCAGAATATGGCAGTGGAAACGGCGACTTCAAACAAAACTCCACATATCCAGAAAGTCACCAGAAGTTGAACTAAACTTGAAGAAACCTTTTTAGCTAATTTCAGGTTGCATTTTTTAAATTTTTTTTAAAAAGCCTCTCTGCTTACATAAGTAGAATGCATCATGTCTTAACAAGTATAACTGATTTCAACACAGCTTTGAAACACATTGTACTTGGCAAGACACAGAGGTAATAGTTGCTTAAAAGACCACTAAATAAAACCAGTCAGGGAGGGGGAAGAAAGATTTTAGAAGAGAAATAATGCTAGGATAACAGGTTGGAGGGCTAATACAGGTTATCTGTGACTTAAGGACCACAGTTGAGCCCCAATCTTTTGTTGCTAAGCAAGACAGTTGTTAAGTTAACTTTGCCCCAATTCATGGCCTTGTTTGCCACAGTTGTTAAGTGAATCGGTGCAGCTGTTAAGTTAGTTAACACAGTTGTTAAGTGAAGTCCACCCATCTTAAAGTTGTCAAGTTGGAGAAACCGCTCTAATGGATCTGAGCGTGGAGAAAGTACAAAGGAAAGGGAAGAAGGAGGGCTGGGCACTGCAAATTAACACCCACCTAATGCTGGACTTAAAGGAAGCAAGAATTGGCTCAACTTATGCAACCCCTCCCTGTTTCTCTTGCCGTTATTTGGGTGCCAGGAATCCTGGCCCTTCTCCTCTCTCTTTGGCCTTCCAAATTCGGAGGGTAGGACACAGCCAAAAGAAAACAACAAGGGTGGGGAGGCAGAAAAGGCTATTGCAGCTGAAAGAAGAATCTGACAGCACAACTATTTTAGAGAAAGGAAACTGGTTGCGTTTTTCTGAATAACTGAACAAACTGAGAACGGGAAGCAGCAGAGCAGTAGACCATGGGGGTCTACTATAATGGTCATTAGTGTGAAAAACGGTCATAAGTCACGTTTTTCAGTGCTGTTGTAACTTCGGTCACTAAACAAATGATTGTAAGTTGAGGACTACTTGTAGTTCCCCAAGCTTTGGTGGGATATACTGTGTAATACAGGTAGTCCCCAACTTATGACCATAATCAAGCCCCAAATTTCAGTTGCTAAATGAGAAAATTGCTAAGTGAGTTTTGCCCCATTTTACGACTCTTCTTGCCCTATTTGTTAAGTGAATCACTGCAGTTGTTAAATTAGTAGCACGGTTGTTAAGTGAACCTGGTTTTCCCATTGGTTTTGTTTGTCGGAAGGTCGCAAAAGAGAATCACATGACCCCGGGACACTGCAACGGTCATAAATGTGAGTCAGTTGTCAAGCAGGATGCAACAGTCATAAGTGTGAAAAATGGTCATAAGTCACTTTTTTCAGTTTCGTTGTAACTTTGAACTGTCACTAAGCAAACTGTTGTAAGTCAAGGACTACCTGTATTTATGTATAATAATACCTACAGAGGAATAGATACTCAACATGTGTGTTAAGGTATTCCAATTAGTTCTCTGGTGGCCTCTGAACTTTTTCTAAGCAACTATGGAGATTTTCAGCCATGTTTGCCCCAAAGCTGCTTTTTCAACTGGACTTCCTTTGTTTTTCCTTGAAGATGTTTCGCTTCTCATCCAAGAAGCTTCTTCAGTTCATTTTTCTAAGTGAGTTTCATCATATTGGTGATTCCTTTCCCTTCAAACTGTCCCCAGCCCTGTTCCAGTCTCCCCCCCCCCCTCCTGGCTATGTGCTACCCAGGGAAACAGTAGGAAGCAGGTGAGCAATTAGGGAAGGAGGGGATGGCAGTAATGGGTCAAGGAGAAGAAGCAAGATATGGGAAGAAAAGACTGTTCGGCTAGACAGGAAAATCTCATGGGCCACTAACAGCCTTCCAGCCGGAGATTCCCTCCCCGATCTTGCCAAAGTTACTGCTCTAACCAGATTTCGGTTTTTGGCTTGTCTCATTGGATAAACATGCTGCCCAGTTAAACACACAGCATAGAAGCATTGTGGGGTTAGAAAGGGGCACAAGGACCATCCAGTTCAACCCTCTATAGCTGTGTTCCTCAATGTCAGCAACTTTAAGATCTGTGGACTTCAACTCCCAGAATTCCCCAGCCAGCCATGCTGGCTGCAGAATTCTGGGAGTTGAAGTCCATGGATCTTAAAAGTTATTTTAAGTTATTTCCGCTATGCCGGAAAACCAATTAACCCCCTTCCCTCCAGTGAGAAGTAGCTGTCCAGCCTCTTCTTCAAAACCTCCACAGACACGGAGCCCATCCGGAATAAGTAAACTATTCCACTGCTGCATAAAGATTTTCTGTATATTTCCGCAAAATACATAGCTGAACGTTTATTTATTTCTCCCCTTGCTATTCATGTAGCCTGGAATGGGCTTTGGTCCAGAAATCAGATATTCTATAGACTGAGAGCCTTCTGATCATGTGAGGTAAGTGGGAATGACCTTGCAAGAGACTTGGGGAAGAAAATAGATAAAAGGCAGCTGAGTCCACAGAGGAATACGGACAGGGCAACAGATTCAGAAGAGACCCTCCCTAGTTTGGGGGCTGTAACAGGGATGGGGATGGCTTTTTATATACAGATAGTCCTTGACTCACAACATTTCTTTAGTGACCGTTCGAGGTTACGACGGCACTGAAAAAAATGGATTTATGACTGTTTTTTACACATGCGACCACTGCAGCATCCCCATGGTCACATGATCAAAATTCGGACCCTTCGCATCTGACTCGTATTTATGATGGTTGCAGTGTCCCGGGGCCATCTGATCCTCTTTTGCGACCTTCTGACAAGCAAACTCAACGGGGAAGGCAGATTCACTTAACAGCCATGTTACAAACTTAACAACTGCAGTGATTCACTTAACAACTGAAAGGTTGTAAAATGGGGCAAAATTAACTTAACGATTTTGCTTAGCGAGAGAAATGTCGGGCTCAATTGTGGTTGTAAGTTGAGGTAATAGGATGTTAATAATTGTAGTATCATGTATACGTTATTGCACCGAAACCTGCACTGAACTCACACAATGTATCAAGATTTACAATATTACCACAAAAAGGGGGGAAAAAACGCCAAGGGGGCAGCCATAATCCTACAATCGACATGAGTCATATGACACGTGTAAAAAAGGAGAGAGCTTCCACCAAGACTTTTCTGACCTTTCTCCCCGCAGCAGACAACCCACTAAGTCTAAACACATTTAGAGAAAGCTGGATTTTGTCCATTGATGGCTGTGCAACAGATAACTTACAGGTAATCCTTGATTTATGGCCAGTTGCTTAGCAACCATTTGAAGTTCCGATGGGCATCCCCAGGGCTATTTATGCCTTGGGTTCAAAGTTCTGATGGCTGCCCCTCCATGCAGTCACATAATCGTATTTTGGTGCCTGGCAACCGGCCCACATTATGACAATTTGTAACATCCACAGTCACCTGATTGCAATTTACTATGTTTTTTTTTTTGCCAGAAGACAGTGTTTATTTGTGGTTTCTGGCAAAACCCACCCATTGTGGATAATGGATTTGCTTAAGGACCACCACAAAGAAAATTGGGTGCAGTCACAAGGTGACTCACTTAACAAGTGGCACGGCTTATAGCCATAATTCTGGGCTTAATTACAATCATATGTTGAGGACTGCCTGTAGAGTTCTTTTCTTATCAGTCATGAGCACATAGCATAATTATAGTGGGAACAGGGCAAAATAGTCTTTGATCATATAGAGCAGGGATGTCAAACTGCCAGCCCACGGGCCGGATATGTCACGCTGAAACTGCACCCACCCCAGCTCCAGCAATGGGGAAAAAGTCGAGGTACATCGTGACACGTCACATGACATTTCGAGTTTGACATCCCTGTTATAGAGGGTCAAACAGTAATGCAGGTGTATCACCAGAAGTGGCTGGACTGATATTTTTATGTGTCTGTTCTTGGTGGGGCTGTTTTTTTTTTAAAAAAAACAACACCAAAATAAGTGCAGAATCATAACTTATTTCAGTTTTTACTGAGGAATACTGGTGGCACCCTCTAACTAGGTAGTGCCAGACTACATAAAGGGGCTGGGAACTTCATGAAGACTGTCTGCCCACCCTAAAGAAGAATTAATAAATTAGTCCAGTGTTTCCCAAACTTGACAATTTTAAGGCATGTGGACTTCAACTCCCAGAATTCCACTGCCAGCAACGCTGGCTGTGGAATTCTGGGAGTTGAAGTCCTCATGCCTTAAAATTGTCAAGTTTGGGAAACACTGAATTAGTCCAAGGATATCCATGGCTCCTTTAGTTTCATCCCGATCACATCCATCACTTGGAAAGGTTTTTAGAAGCTGTCCCTGTTAGCTTAATATGTACCAATTTCTCCCAACCTGCCATCCTCAAGGTATGTGGCGACTGCTAGCCACCTTCAGCTAAAATTAGAGCTTCTGGGAAGCTTAATCCAAATAACGTGGTTTGGAGAAGGCTGTCATAATCATTACCTCTGGATGTTCTCTTCCAGTTCCTTGGCTTTCAAGTTGTCCTCCTCAAACAGCTTCTTTGTGGCTTCACCCTCTTCAGCTGTGGATGAAGGAGCTCCCTCCAGCAGCCATCTCTCTCGCAGAGCCTTTGACTTGAAGATAACAGGGGGGAAAAAGGAGAAAATATTCCTTATTGTGGAGTCCTGGGTGCTGGATGAGCTTGAGGCTGAGGAGAGCACCAAGTTCAACCCAAAGCTACATACAGTATACAGTAATCTTCAACCTACAAAATTCTATCCTGTGAGGAAATGGACAGACTGACATTAGAACTCAAAAATAAAACAGAAACAGAGTACTTTGAAATTTGGAATAAAGTGTATAATTGGTTGGATTTTAAGAGGTACATTGGGACAAAGGCTGATGATTAAGTAGATAACCTAGAGATTCTTATTTTAATATTTGTTATATCAGATAGAACCAAAAGTTATTTAACTAGGATGTACTTTATTGAAAGAATGTGCACTGTGTAACAATGTAATAACTTAATGTAAAGTAATACTAATAGTATCGTTTAAACAGGGAAGTTGTAAAAAAACCAAAACAATTCATTTAGTGAGTGTTCAAAGTTACAATGGCACTGAGCAAAGTTCAGTGTTTTCATACTTACAACTGTTGCAGTAGTCACATGATCAAAATTCGGATGGTTGGCAACTGACTCATATTTATGACGGTTGCGGTGTACTGGGATAATGTGATCACCTTTTGTGACCTTCTTACAAGCAAAGTCAATGGGGAAGCCAGGTCCACTTAACAGTTGTGTTACTAACTTAATAACTGTAGTGATTCACTTAACTGTGGTGGCGCAGTGGTTAGAATGCAGTATTGCAGGCTAATCCTGCCGACTGCCAGCAGTTCGACTTTCACCGGCTCAAGGCTGACACAGCCTTCCATCCTTCCGAGGTCAGTAAAATGAGGATCCAGATTGTTGGGGACAATATGCTAACTTTGTAAACTGCTTAGAGAGGACTGTAAAGCACCATGAAGCAGTATGTAGGTCTAGGTCAGTGGTTCTCAACCTTTTTAATGCTGCGACCCCCAACTGGTCGTAAGTCGAGGACTACTCAACCGGTCGTAAGTCGAGGACTACTCAACTGGTGCAGCACCGTTTGCAGAATGGGACTTTTGGCGGGCTCAGCAGGGCAGAGACAGCCTGGACAATTCCTATTGGCTTTTGAAAGCCAATAGAATTAGACTCTGCTCAAGAGTGTCTATTCTATTGGCTTTCAAAAGCCAATAGAATAAAAGGGAGTAGCACAGCTAAGGAAAAGGGGGGAAAAAATGGCGAACTGCGTTGTTTGGCAACCCCCGTGAAATGGTCGTTCGACCCCAAATGGGGCCCCGATCCACAGGTTGAGAACCACTGGTCTAAGTGCTATTGCTATTAACAACTGTGGCATGAAAGGTTGTAAAATGGGGCAAAAGTCACTTATCAAATGTTTCACTTAGCAACAGAAATTTTGGGCTCAATTGTGGTCGTAAGTCGAGGAATACCTGTATTCTCTTCTATTAGATTCCTTACATGCCCCCCTCCCCCAGTGTTGTTCTGTTGCATAATCTGATAGCTGTTATGGCTTACAGGCTTAATCAGGACAGGGAAAGACCTAGCAATGCCTTTGCACAATAGGCTAAACTCAGCTAATATTAATCTTTTGTGGGAGGCTGTGCAGCTCAGCGTAATGCAAACCCAGTCCTTTGCCTAGGGTAGGATGAAATGTCTTACATGAACCCTAGAACGTGGGTTCATTTATTTATTTATCAAATTTATTAATCAAATTTATCATCGTCGCCCATCTCCCCTCCACAGGACAGTCTGGGCAACGCACAACAATAAATAAAGCAACTAATAAAAACAGATAAAATTCCTAAAGCCACAATAATAAATATTTATTATGAATTAATCATGTGACCAGAAGAAATATGAAGGCAGTAGCAATTAACAGCCTTTTTTCTTAGAATAAACATTTATGCAGTAACGTTTACATTCTGCCTTTTAAGCATTCAGGAATAAACTTTTTGCTAGATTTCATTACAAGACCAGGTTGAGGAAAGAGCACCCTGGAAAATATTTATGCTGTTACTAAAAGTCAACAACAACCTGATGGTACTGAATCACTTGGATTTTCGGCTTTTTCTCCACTGGTTACAGAGGACACCCATATTCCATTTGGGGAATGGACCCATATATATTTATGATAGTGTAGCTCACAGCACACTTTTCCTTCACTAAAAATTCTCCACCAGAATAGAAAGTGAGAAATCGCGAGTTCTAGTCCTACTGTAGCCATGGAAACCTGCTGGGTGACTCTGAGGCAATCACCAGGAGACTGAGAGTTCTAGACCCAACTTAGCCATGAAAACCAGCTGGGTGACTTTGGGCCAATCACACAGTCTCAGCCCAACTCATCTCACAGGGTTGTGGTTGTGAGGCAAACAGGAGGCGGAAGGTGTGCTGGACGTAAGTTATTTGAACAAATAATAAAAAGGGGATACAAATAAAAAAATAAGAAATGAATGTCTTTTCTTTTTTCAAAAGAGCAAATTAGGAGCTTGGAAACTCCTTAAATACCTTTAAGTGCTGTAACTGGCGCCTGTCATCTTCTAATTGTCGCCGTTTGTTTTCAATCTCGGTTTGGCGTTTTCTCTTTTCCTACAATCCCAGAGAGAAGGGAGCAAAAAGAGAAGAAGCAAGAATTAAACATCGGTTCCCGGAGAGAAAAACAAACATTAGGTGTTAAGAGGCTGCACAGAGGCTTACGCTTGCTTTCCCTACAATTTCCTTTTGATTGACAGTTTAGGGAATGGTGGTCAAAAGAAGGGGAAAATGCCCTTTGGGAAGGCGGAGACTTAAGAATATTTGGCCCTTATTTTAAGTGATGATTTAATTAAGCAAGGACCTTATACCAATTTTCTTAGATGTCATGGTATAAAAGCGATCCACTAAAATTAAATTGTCCCTACCAATAGTGCCTATTTCTGGCAGCTTCTTTAACGAGCGTGTGACAAACAGCTAAATATCAAATCAAGAAATGATACCGTCTGTTATTTCTAGAAAACAAGTAAATCATCATGTGCTTCAATGCATTTCAGTACTATTCATGGAAGCGTCTTCTGTTCTCTGGCAGAAGATAATAGTAAAAGAAGAATCTGTTTTCCTCCAGAACACAGCAGAGCAAGTTTTTAATTTAAAAAGAACCAGAAAGAAAGAGGTTTCCAGAACTCAGAATCATAGGGCCGGAAGAAACCTTATTCCATCCTGGACAAATAGTTTTCCAATCTTCCACCAGCAATGGAGCACCCATACCTCCCAGAGATAAGTTGTCCAGAATCACTTCTAGATGAGATGGCCAGCCTACAAGTGTAACAAACCAACAAAACTGTTGGTTAATCATTCTTACTGTCAGGAAATTTCACCTTAATTCCAGACGGTATCTCTCCTTGATAAGTTTCCATCTGTTACTTCCTGTCCTACCCTCAGGGATTTTGGTAAATAAGTCAACTTCCTCTTCCCTATGACAGTCCATCAAGTACTGGAAGACGGCTATCATGTCTTCCCTAAGGCTTCTCTTTGTTAGGCTAAACATACCAGTTCCCTCAGCTTTTTGTCATATGATTTAGCTTACCATCCTTTTATTACCTTTGTTGCTCTTCTCTGCACTCTTTCTAGGGCCTCAGCATCTATTTTGTATCTTGGTGACCTGAACTGGATGCAGTATTGACCTTAAGCTTCTGGATACTCTATGCCAAGTTGATGGGATAACAAGCCTATTGGGATTACTCACCAAAGGCATTAAATACACTTAGTGTCATTAAGAAGACCTTTCTCGGATTGTTTATAGAAACTGACTTTATTGGATTGGTGGTCTGTTAACTGCATAGGCCTGGATTTGGTCTTTGGATTAAAATTTTGGTCAATGGATTAAAATTTTGGTCAAAATCCAGTGCAGAAGTGATATTTTGAGGCTCCAAACTCAGATCACCACCATTGTTCTTGGCCTGGGGTAAATAATGATGTTGCTCCTAAATTGCATACTGGTGGATTATCCCAAGATTGCATGTAATTTTCCCTAAAAAAATGAGGGCATGTAATTGCTCTATTCTACTGAGTCTCTAGCAATTAGGGAAATTTCCAGAGCTGCTAGATTATATGGCAGAACCATCTATGGAGGAAAGAATTCACCCTACGGGAGGTTTTTAATATGGGTCAAAAGGAGCTTACAATCTTCCTAGAAACATTTAGCTCCATAAGATGCACAGTGAATGGCACTTGTTGGCCTCTTGGTGTGTTGAACTAGAGACTTAATTCTCAATCCATTCAATCAAAGTGAGAACTGGCTGAAGAACACCAAGGCAGCAAAGGAAATGATGCTGGACTTTATCCTCATGGCACAAAACGTCCTGAGTAAGTATTTTTAGAGGGCATATCCTCATGATGTAGTCGTCATCTCATCCCCAGCCCACCTCAAAGGTAGATGGCATCCAACTTCAGCTGTTCTGATTTAAAAAGTAATGCCTTTCCTGTTCTTCTCCCAGCCCAAGTCTTACCACATGAACATTGATGATGACTCAATTACAGTGATGGTGATGGTACAACCAGGAGTTAGGATCTGGAGCTCCCACTGGCCACCTTCAGTTGGCTGACTCTGCAAAATGCCACCCTGCCCTTATGTGAACTCCTTAAATGAATGGGTCCAGTGGAAGAACACTGGGATGGTTTTAAAACATGTGTTTAGTGGGTCTTTTGAAAGAGTAGTAGGCTTTTGAGTTCAAAAAACAGACTCGCACTCTCTGCATAGAAAAGTGATTTAAATTGGGAAAGAGAACAAGGCTCTTCCTACTGTGTTTTGCTGGTTGTGTCCCAAATGAGGGCACTGCAGGTTTTCTGCTGCTTCTGCAACTTTTGTATAACTGCGCTTTGTACTGTTTTTATCATGGGTGTGTAGAGTGGCAGCAGTGGTGTCAATTTGCCTACTCCATCATCGTTTTGTGTGCTCTATAGGAGACTTCTGGGTGCTGCTGGCCACCCTCCCTCCCTCCGTATTATTCAATTGCAACATTTACTGATTTGCAGAATTTGGAAACGGGCATAAAACTGGCTAGAGTTCTGCCAGCTTCCAGATCAGAGGTACAGTTAGAGGCATAGAATTAAAGTGGAAGAGCACCTTACTAGACCTCCACCACCCCAGAAGCTCTCTCCTACTTCACCCTTCTCAGCCTCACTGACCTGGGTTATTTTTGGACAAAGGCTTAGAGGTCTTTCAAAAGACCAGCAGACCCATGTTCAGAAATAGCCTGCTAGAGCAACCAGGCATAAAGCACCTCCATGCCAACAACCTGTCACCTGGGCAACTTGAAAATTCAGGTAGTTCTCGACTTATGACCATTCAGTTACAATGGACCTTACTAAAAGGTACTTGTGACCCAGTTCTGAAGTTCCGATGGCCACCCTCCCCACACGGTCATATGACTACATTTCGGACATTCAGCAGCCGGCCCGCATTGGCCATTTGCAGCATCCCACAGTCATGTGACTGCAATTTACATCATTTTGATTGAAAAATGGCATTTACTTCTGGTTTCCAGCAAAAAAACAGCCCATAGCAAACAAGCGAACATAGCGTTCATTTAAGGACTGCTGCATTTGCTGAATGACCATTGCGAAAAAGGTGATAAAATTGGGTCAGTCACATGATGCCCTGCTTTATGACCATCACTACTTAGAGCTGTAAGCTAAATCTCTCTCTCGGGTTCCCATCACTCATGTAGGCCTGCCCCACCAGATGTCTGCTCAAGAGAGCAATTGGTAGGGTTCCCCCCCCCACCAGCTGGATGAGAACAGAAAACAAACCAGGGGAGTCATTGATAACTGTCCTTAAATTGTCCCCTGGTAAAGCTGTAAGGACACAACCAGCCTTATTGCTGGGATAGATCAGAGCTCAGTTTTTAGGGCAATGCAAATTAGGCCGGCATAATTTTCTGTCAAATCAAGAACCAGAGGAAAATACACAAAAGCAGCTGGGAAGAAGTGCTCTCAGGAGCAAAACGGACCATTTGGGGTGATGGATGAATCAGCCAATGTGGCCTACCTTTTTCAAAAAGTCCTCTGGAGATGCTTCAATGCTGCCTTCATCACAAATTATAGCCTCTGACCAGACCATTAAGGCTACGGAGTCCGCCCCTCGACTCAATGCAGAAATCCACATTTGCGCAAGCCTGACATATGCTTATTCAGCCTTTGCTTCAACATGACTAGAGAAGATGAACTGTAATCACGTTGCTCCTATCATTAGAAATATTCAACTGGAATCCACCCTTCTCTAATTTAAATCGATTATTCCATGTCCTGCAGTCTAAAATGACAAAACAGCTCATGACCACTTGGTGACCACTGAGAACAATCTTCCTCAAGCGTTTCTATCTGGATCAGTCAATCAACCTTTTCCTTTTTTTAATTTATTTTTATTAATTTTTTTTCCTCATCAACATATGTTAATTTTTCCAATCAACAAGTTGTCTGGAGTTTGCTAAGCTAATGCATGTTCAGTTCCTAATCCTTCATTCTTTTCTCTAACCAAGAATAAAATAAATTCCAAATTTGATAGTAGTCTGTATCTTCTTTGTCTTTCAACCTCATAGTTAATCTGTCCATCTCTGCACATTCCAGTATTTTCCTGATTATTTCTTTCTTTGATGGCAATCCTTCATTCTTCCAGTATTGTGCAAAAATTATTCTCGCTGCTGTGGTGATGTGTAAAATTAAATATAATTTCTGCTTATTAGTCTTTTCAGGCATAATGCCTAATAGAAAAAGTTCAGGTTTAAATCCACTTGTTCACCCAATATTTTTTCTAACCACATATGTATATTTTTCCAATAAGCCTTTGCCTTCCCACATGTCCACCAAATATGATAATACGTGCCTATGTTATGTTTACATTTCCAATATCTATCTGACATATTTTTAAACATTTTTGCTAATCTTGCTGGTGGAAGGTGCCATCTATAAAACATTTTATACAAATTTTCTTTGTATGAAGTTGACATTGTTAATTTATAGTTTCTCTCCCATAACATTTGCCATTTTTCTAATTCTATATTATAACCAAATTTTTTTTGCCCATCTTGTCATTGTTTCTTTTTGTTCACTTTCCATATCTAAAATTAACAAAAAGTTATACATTTTCTTGATTAATTTCTCATCTGAGGATAACAAAATCTTATCAAACACAGATTGGTCCTTGTAAAATCCATACATTTTAACATCTTTTTCATATCTACTTTGTATCTGTAAATGTGCCCACCAAGACAGATTATCAACCTTTTCCTAAAGTGTTGCTGAACCAAAGAGGATAACAATGAAAGTGCACGAAAATTGCATTCATAAAAAAAAAGAGGCAAATGCCAACTTTCCAGCAACAAGCCAACTCCTGATGTCTTTATGGACTCATCCATGACATTGTCTCCCTTGAGGATTTTTTTTTTAAACTTCTCAGTCCAGTCTACTGCCCTGGGATTTTCTGGTATCTCTCATCCAAGTATTTAATTAGGAGCCAGCAGAGTGATGTAGCTCTAAAAAGGAGAATGCTATCTTAGGGAACAAAGAATCAAGATTATGAGATGTATTGGTTCTATCCTGGTGAGATCCATTTT